GGCACAATCGTTACAACTCGGAGTGGTTTCTGACAATTTCTAATGACTGTCTCAATCTTCTGTCGTTTTTCCGTTGTTGTTGTCACTGAGACTATTGTTGTTCTCTCTGACAAAACTTGTTGATCTGATTTCGCAGTTTCAGTGTGTGCGAAATAATAAAAGGCTATGTGCCTTTCACGTCCAAATCGAAAATTTGAAAATTAGCATGTCAGTCAAAAATAACCCTTCCCGATTTGTCTGATCGTTCAAATGACGTCACCAATTCATAAAAATCATCAATCTTCTCGGTTAGATGTTCCAATAAAAACTGGAATGCGAAATTGCATTTTGACTATTCTGGTCGAATGTCACAAAAAAGCGAGGTCTCTTAATTGATGGCTGATATTATCTTTACCAATTACATTTGGAATGAGATTTTCCTTCAGTTTTTTCTCGCAGGTCTGCAGGTTTTCTGTGGTATTGGGTGTAGTTCTGGCTAAAAACGATAATTTTTCTTGTACCCTTTGCTGTAACAGGAGTACACGTTTTGTGTTGATGTTTTCGCGATCTTGCCAAGTTTCGGATTTTATGACAGAACCAAGTACTCTGGCCCCTTTCTTCATTTCAATTTGGGTATTGTTGAATCTTTTTATCGCTCATTGTTTTTTTCATCTTTTACACTGAGCTGGCATTTCGATGCCTTGACTTGATATCCAAAATATTTTCCGTTTTTGATAATGTCAAAAACTCTTCGCAAGCTTTTCAAATGACCGACTGCGTTACCATCATCTGCTTACCATTTCTGTGTTAGGCTGTTATCGTTGACTAGTTTTATTAAAGGTTAAGTGGCTAACCCGTATATTGCCATTGCTAATGGGTCTCCTTGTGTGTTTACTTCTCTAGATAGGATTAAATTTTTTTTAACGAAGAGTTTGGATGGATTAGAGTATGAGTTTTGTATTGCGGGTAGTATAGATGGGCACATATTTGCAGTGTTTTTTCAAGCCAGGTTCCCGTTTAGGGAGTTAAATGCTTTTTCCGCGTCTATCAGTAATATTGCATCGGAATCTGTTTTCTCGTATTTCTTTCTAGGCGTATGAATTGCATATTCTATGCCACATTTTTGACCAAGGCATAGTTGGTAATTCGATCCGAGTACCATAAGTTGGCTCTTTGTGATCGTTCTACCTATTATTCTGCGGATGACTTCGCCTATGCCAATTGGCCTAACTCCTGGGTTTTTATCAAGTGGAACTAGTCGACAGGCATTATGTGGTTCAAGAAGCTCATGACTTAGTATTTCTGTCGATGTTTTCTGTGCGATTTTAGCTAATTTGGCCTTTTTATTCTAATGTGAGAAAATCTGATTGTTATTGACCAGTTTTTATGGTTTCCAATTGAATTTTAAAACTTCTTAACAAAAATGGCCAGTGCAGTAGAAACACTACAGTCGATCAGAAAACAATTTTTCAACTAAATAAGACGTCTACTAGTGAACGCACTTGGCTTGTTTCAAATACCTACACTACTCAGCCATCTTACTCAGAATAAGATCAGCTAATTTATGCATCTCCACGTTAAACAACTGAGCTGGTAAATTTAAATATGTTTCGAATGAGTAAAATTTGATTACTCCTCATGTTGAAATAAAACCAGGATTTTCTCAGAGACAAGGTTTCTTGAACGGAAAGTACTTTGCGATTTTGAAAGACTACGACAACTTTACAGGTTTGAAGAATAAGCAATATAGAAACAGTAAATGTGAATGGAAGTAATCAAAAATCGTACTCAGTCGAAATCATTTATGAGCCCTACGTTAAAAGAAAAGTTTCAAAAACTTGGAGATTATGCTAAAGTGCCGTTCCTTCAAAAGGCACAAGCTTACTTTACAGTGATAACTGAAAATTACACCAAAACAATCAGTGAAGAAAATTAATTCAAAAAAAACTCAGAATGTTCCAGATTTTTAGGTTGAATTTTCGTTTTGCGGTCAGAAATAATCAAATGTAAAAATTGAGCATACTCGGAGAAAAAGGTCACAAAAAACAGAGCAGCCAGAGACGAGTTTAAAAATCGTAAATAAGAGGCAGATGAATATGACAAAAGGCGACTCCGGTGGTAGAACTCTCGCACGAGACGTGTTTTTTCTCCTGAATTGAGTGGCAAATTCTTGAGCGTCCGAACCTGGAATCTGCAAGAAAATTGAATTTATCCCACAGGAAGTGTGAGAAGGGTGGCCCGGAGCCTACAAACTGTTTTTTAACAATCGAAGCCCTGAGGGTTTGAAATTAATTCCTTTGTGATAATTAATTTTGGAGCATATCTACTTGAGGGCATGAAAAGGGTCAATCCATCGCTAGTCTATAACTGTCTCTAAAAGTAATTGTAATTATTTTCTAAAGCCCCATTTTGAGTCGTAGTCACCTTGTCTGTGGATTCGAGACCCAGTTATTTTGTTTATTATCTTACTAAGATAATAAACTGGTAAAGATAAATTGGTAAAGATAATATTAGCCATCAACTTAGAGACATCGCTTCTCTGCCACTGAGAATGGGTGGTCTAAATATCAAACTACTTCTGACTATGAGAACTTTATAGAATGGTCAATTAAAACATCGTCAGTCTTTGACACTTACGACCCATTAACAGCTATATCTGAGCAAGAAAAAATCTACTAAAATTAAAACACTTGAAACTGAAAGAACAAACCAAAAGAGAACTAACATTTTTTCAACAAATTGAGCGACAGTGAAAAATACGACTTGAGCTGGCCTCCGAACAAGCAGCCTCAACTGGTTAAACGCACTGCCACTTAGTAGATATAATTTCAACCTAAATAAATCCGAATTCCGGGATGGAGTTTATCTAAGATATGGATGGGAACCAACCAACATTCCACTCACATGTGCATGTGGTCAATCTTTCGACCTTACCCACGCCCCTTACTGTGCAAAAGGATGGATACAACCACATGAGGCATGACGAAATCAGAAATACCTTTGCCAACCTCATGAGCGAGGTTCGCTATGATGTTGAAATCGAGCCGAAACTTCAGTCGTTGCAAGGCGAGAGCTTTGTCAACATTTCAACCACAACTATTGAAGACGCTCGACTAGATGAAAAAGCAAACGGATTCTGGGGCTCAAGGTTTAGCCGAACCCTCTTTGATGTCAAAGTCTTCAAACCGCACGCAAAAAGTTCACTAAGACTACTGAAAGACGCCTATAAGCACCACGAATCACTAAAAAACTCAAGATACCAAATGAGAGTTCTGTAAGTCGAACAGAGTAGCTTCTGCCCGCTTATTTTTGGCTGCACTGGTGGTGCCGCACCAGCAGCTACACGGATAATGCAGGGCATAGCTGAAAAACTTAGTGTAAAAATGGCATGAAAGCTACTCAGAAACAATAAACTGTATAAGAACTAAGATAAGCTTCTCGCTGCTCAGGTGCGCTATCCTTTGTATACCGGGGTGCAGATTACTGCGTAAGACACAATTCATAGACAATCCAATTAGTGCTATTATAGAGGAGGGACGGTTGAAGTAAATACCTTTAATGACAATGTATTAAATGCTGACTTGACTTAATTCTGGCAATTTTGTTTATTGATGTATTTATATAATGCTGTTATGGGCCCTATCCGGGTTGTGCACGACCGTATCTAAGCGGAAGGGTCCCTTTTATAATTTAGTTTTTTTTATCTTTCTAAGTAAGATTATTTCGGCTGATAGCCTGAAACTCGCAACAAGTTCGCTGGCCCTTAAATAGACCGAAAATCAACTGGCCAGGTCGAGACGGTGAAAAATCTTTCGAATTACGTTAATTGACGTCAGGCAGTCGTCAATAGGACTTTTTTCATGGCAGTGTAATATCTGTCTGAATGTTACATTACTTATTCAAAAAGATCCAAAGGTGGAAACCATGAAAATTTTTCATAGAAAGATTTCAAATTGAATGTGTCATTTCTCTGTAACTGGTTGACTCAACCATCTCGAGTTCTTTACCTTCTTGCTCATTGTAATTTCCTTCGCACTTCGCTAATTTAGGAAATTCCGATAGTTTGAACGGGCGAAATGATGAAGGACAGGTTTAGTCACTTAGTTCACCATGATACTTTCTGACCTCACAAATCATAACGATTTAATAATTTTCTACATTACCCACGAAAGAAGCAAAGATAAAAAAAGACAACAACAAACCATATCTAGAAGAAAAAGAAGAAAGCAAACTAGTTCAATCTCGTGGTTATCTGTTTTTTATTTGGATAGAGGTGTGCAGCTCCGGGTCGGGTACTACTATGATAGAGTGGTCCCTCGAAAAGGTTACGTAGCAGTATTTAGACTACCGCGTATTCATCAAGTAAGCAGATAAATGCCATATTAACCAATCAGAATTGAGACAAGGAAGAACTAAATAAATAATTATTTATTTCGTAAGTTTGCTTTCTCATCTCAATTCCGATAGGTTAATATGGTATTTGTCTGCTTACTGACGAGTGTGAATACGAGGTTGTATAAATATTGACCGCATTCCCTCGAAAAACCAACTATGATAGACTGGTCCCGCATGCATTTCGCATGTTATGATTTTGAAAACTAATTTGTGTATAAGTTATTCATTTCTCATTTCAAAAATCTTGAAAAAATATATTAATTCAGAAATTTTTCAGATTGAAAATTGTAATTAATTTATTGTTTATATCAAGAAATTTGCTCGTTTCTGTTCAATTTTTTCTCCTTAGCATGGTGAGGGGGAAATTTCACGAAGTAACAAAACATAAAATTTGTTTGAAAATATACTGCGAAATCTTACTGAATTACGAAATCATAATTATTAAAGGATTTGAGAGCTCTAGGTGTATTATTCTCAAGGTACCTGGTTGTTTTCAAGGGACCACTCTATCATAGTAGTACCCAGCTCCGCTTCGCTACTCTTTCTGATTTAGTACGTAAACTATATATTGAATTATTTAAAGCAAAAGTCCTCCTGTAGTGTGACGCTATGATTTGAATTTTTTCAGATGGGTGGCTTCTTTTCCTCCCCTACCAGTGATGTCTTTGATCAGCCAGATAGCGGTAACTTAATTTAAATTTTGATTTCAATGAAAATGTAATTAAGTGTTTGAAATTTTTTGCATTTAATAGAACTATTTGCTGACTTCTTCTACATCGGTGGAATCAAATTTTCAACAGAAAAAATTAAGCTAGATCAAAGTCAAAGAGACGGGAGAAACGACACCCGAAATGTCGACGCCAAACTTGACTCTAGGCTGTTGTTTGGGTCCAAAGAGGATATGATGCATCTGGGAAAGAACAAAGCATTTCCGGTAAATTTTTTTTGTTTTTAACGTATCATTCATTGCCATCTATTTAGTTCGAACTACCATTTGTAAATTGTTTTGTTTGTTTTAGTTCAGTGGGCCTCTACCTAATGGAAATGAGCCTCTGACAACATTACGTGCCTCCGTTTTTGTTCAAAGAGACTCTCTAAGAATTAATAAGTACGTTAAGACCAGTAAGTTAAATTTCGTTTAAAAGCATGGATTCGCCCGGAAATATTTTTTTTTGCAGGGAAGTGGGCGAAGGATTCATGGGGCAGAGAAATATACGAGGACCTCAACAGCAACCACTTTTAAATCAGTACACCTTCAGTTGCAGATTTGAAACCGATGTTCCAGGAACGGCAACTTTGTATCAAAAAGCCACTGAAGTCTTTAAAGACGGCAAGCTATGGTAAAATCAGCTATATGATTTCACCTTGGAAATTTTGTTGTCAATAACTCTTTTCAATTGAATTTTTCACTTTTGTGTCAATTTCTAGCTTCCATGGAGAGAAAATACACGAGATGAAATTTGAAAAACCCTCAAATGGAGCTCCGGTCGAGTTTGTATCGATAAGACCAATTGACCACGAAGGGCTAGTAAGAGAATGGGTTAGTGTATCTTACTTTATTTTGTTTTAACAAGTATCGCGCAATTTTTTGGGATGATATGACGATGTAAAGTTGATTTACGAAATGCTTGTGGATGAAGTTACATCCTGTCAAACCTGGAAATGAAAATTATGAAATTTGTGCCAGACGATGTTATCGAACATTTGTAAAAAAAAAATTTGATTCTTTTTTTTTCGTAGTTAATTGCTTTCCATGAATTGTAATTACAAAATTACACCAGCGGTTGTTAGTGTTATACTGCGAAGCAACTTTTTTCTAGCCATTGTCGCAAATAGTAATGCTAATTTTGATGACAATTTTGCAGCATTGAAACTATATCTAATAAAAAAAATGTTGATGCTTTTTATCAAATGAACCGAAGAAAAAGCGATTTGCTTCATACAACAGTATAATAATATAAACTCCTTTTCAGAAGTTTTCTAAAACATTTTTCTTGCGAAATTATTGAAGTGCATATTTTATAGGCAACTAGGTTTTATACATTCAAATTATTACATGCAAATTTTGTGTATGTGATAAAAAGTGGACAGTTGGCGACAAATTTTGTGCAATTTTTAGCTCACTTTTACCGCTTTCTAGCTTGTGCTTGAGAAGTTGCATCCAATAAGAACTATCGTTCCAACCCCGGGCGGACCTTGGCTCGATATTCATGGAAACTGAAAAACGTTTCTGGGGAAACTTGAAATGTCGGACTAATTTGTCTGCTTTTTTTCTTGGTTTACTTTCCTTCCGTTGCAGTCAATTTGTGAAATCTTATTTAACGCCGGTAATTTTGAAATCTATGACATTTTTGTAGATGTTGCTTCTTCGAATTTTTTTCAAATAATTTTTCTTGGTGACTTCGTGTCATTTTTTATCCGCTAGCTTGTAATGCTATGGTTGTGTTGTACCGCAAGTCGCGAAATTGCATTGTTTTCTTCAGAATCTTAACCAGGGAAAGGCAGATGGCAAAGATAAAGATATCCCGACGCCCCTGGTGCTACACCTGGAAGCTGACGAGAAACACCATCCTGGGCACTCACATGCAGCCTATATGAGAGTGGAACAGGTAAAATTTCTTTTCGGTGCTCCTCAGTTTCCCACTAACATAAATGCGGTACTTCCGAACTTGAAAGCCTGTAAAATCGAGTTCCTATGATTAAAAAGGATAGCCGTCTGCTGTGCAAGTAGCACAGAATGTTCCGACCAAAAACTGACTGAATTAGTTGATAAACTGCAAAAATAAAAAATATTTATAGCTAAAACAACTATGTAGTAGAATTAATCAAAGAAAGAATGAGTTTATTTCGCTAATAAATAGAAGCTAACAGACTATCAATCATTGCATGGAACCATATAAATAATCAAAATAGCTATCAGCGAGCACAAATTAGGATAGACTAAGGGCATCATGCTATATGCCCACTCAATGTCTACCCTTATAAGGATTGTCAATTTAATCAGCAAAAAATGTTAATTGATTAAGTAACAACAAATATCTAGTTTCAGGAAACAAAGTGGTAAAAAATAATAATAATTTATTCTACTGATACTGCTGTTAGTCTTATGATGAGATTTGTTAAGTAGTTATTGGTGTCGCAGGATGTTTTTTTTACTGATATCAGTTAATCAAATAAACAAAAAAAAACTCATTTTTCAAGACTTTGGTTAGATTTACCTCAAAAACTGAGAAAAATTTGAACCTCTTATCTTGAGGACAGGCTCCTAGCTTTTAGCCATATATGAACATCAGTTTACTGCAGGATGCAAAAATGATCGATTTTTTCTAAGTTTTTCTCTCGAAAAACCAAAGAAAAATTTAAGAATTCCCTAAAAACTGCAATATCTCGAAAACTACGAGGTTTTAAGAGATTGAAAAACCATAATTTTGAACCAGACTCGCAACCAATAACAGTATTTAGATTAACTCTTAACTAATGGGTTTTAAAAATTTAAACTTAAATCAATGCGAAACAAGTTTTTCAGTTCTGCATAAATGAGAAAATAATCAAAAGAAAATTTTTTATAAAGAAAAATTTGACAACCCGTAGTTTTTACGGCAAGTTTGGAGACTATATAGCTTTTCTGAGCGTAATAACGGGGAATATTGTGAAACGTTGAAAGTTTAATGTAATATTTATCAAAATTATATTTATCTAAATTATTTATCAAAATTATAAATTAAAATTATAGTGTTTCCCAGAATTTGAATATCTTTTAATTTATGCTCAGTAACCATCAATTCATTTTTTCACGTACTTCTCACATTAGAAAACATCAAATGATCTTCACTCAAAATATTTATTGAGCGATGTGCCTTTTTTCCCCAACGAGTGTGATTTCTGTTTTTTGACAAAAAGTCTATTATATACTAAATTTTTAGATATTCTAGTTTTGTGTACAAACTTTGAAATAGTAAATATTTTTTAAATAACTTGTTCAATGAAGGCTGTTAATCGATCTCAAAGAGATTTTTGAAAGTCATAGCATAAAGTTTGTAAAGTGTCATAACCTTTTCTGGAAATATGATCGAGATACCATCACATTTTTTTTAAAGAAGATCATACGCATTTTTTTTTTTGCGCTGAATATATGGGGTTCAAAAAAGAGAAGTTAGTACACCAATAAACAATAACAAATACTTAAATAACGATTTGATTTTATAATTTTAATAAATGAGTAAAACAGACCTCGGTACAAATTGTTGCGTTTTTGTACTGCTGCTACAAGCGAGGTAAAGTTTACTTTCGACAATTACACCTAGATATGTACATGAATTTCTCGGAGAGAAAGTATTCTCTTTAATTTTAACATTCAAATTAGAAGCATTTCTTTTCTTATTGAAGCGACAGTGGTGGTTTTATCTATTTTCAGAGTTAGTTAGTGTTGTGCCCAAAGACTGATATTTGTTAAATCAAGTTGAATGTCTCTCAGGCATGCGTTGCTTGCCACAATATTTGAATCATCGGCAAGAAGAAACACGTATGATTTTTGCATCCTTTTGGCTATCATTAATGTATGTAGGGAAAAGTAGAGGACCAAATACCGATCCCTGTGGAACAGCTTCATTAACTGAATTCCATTCAGAAACTACAGTATTAACAACTGCAGCTTTCAAACCATTGATGGACAACGCCATATGAATCAAGTTTTTCTAGAAGCAGCTTGTGTTCAAGTGCGTCAAATGTTTTTTTGAGATCAGTGAAAAACTACGCCGTAAATCTTTGTTTTAAACCTTAATTTTTGTCATTTCAGCTAAAGCCTCGATGGTTGCAAATTTCTGTCGAAATCCACATTTTTCATCATAGAACTAATTAAATTTTTCAAAGGTTCCGTATTATCGAGGGTACATTGCTTTTTCAAAGGCTTTGCTACAGCTATTCAGAAGTGATATAGGTCTATAATTAATAAAGTTTTTTTTTTGCTACCAGATTTTTGGAGCGGAGAAACTACAGATTTTTTCAGGAGCGAAGGAAACTTTTCAATGAGAGGTTAATCAAAAATGTAAGGAAGAGAGCTACTATGTATACGTTGATAATAATAAAAAAAATACTTTGTCATTTCCTGTAGAATGTTAAGCTTTCAAACTATTTATGTTCTCTACAACTTCATAGAAAGTACATCTATTCGAACAGGTACATTGAATGCTCTACAGTATCAACTGAAATGCTTCCATCAGTGCTCGGTATAACACTAGCAAGACTTTGACCAATTGTAGAGAAGAACTGATTCAAACTATTGGCTATATCTTCAGCCTCTGTGATATCAATTTTTTTTTTCAAGACCGCAACCTGTGAAGTATGGGCCGTTTTACCGTTCATTTCATTTAATAACTTGAAAATTTATGCCTCTGGTCTCGATTACGTTTATCGAACTTATTGAAATAGTTATCTTTCTTGCATGTTCCTATTTGCTTTTCGACTTTCCTGTCCGTTAGAAATTTTTCTTTTTGCGTTGTTCTGGATAACAGCTTTCAGTGTTTTGTACAATTTATTTCTCCTATTCAATGCGTTTTAAGTATATGATTAAATCTGGGAACATTTGATTTTTTTGTACTTCTCGTGTCTCTAAATGGTGCAATTTCAATTATTTTTTTTTGAAAGTTTTCATAAGACTGATCAATGTTATCTTTGTCCACAAGACTTGATTGAACTAGCTTTATTTTTAAAATAAAAAAAATCTTTTAAGCTCTTTGTTGAGAATTGACAGATACCAGATGTTTTTTGACGGGGAGGAACATATTTTGCGAAATCGTGATGTAAAAGAACTGGATAATGATCAGAAAAGCATTCATTGTTAAGAATCTCGATTACTAAGACAAATAAGTTGCGGATAATGAAATTACTGATAAGAGATGAAGATCTTTCCTTGAATCTGGTAGGTTCTGATTCTAAGAGCTCAAACTATTTTCTGAGAACATGTATATTGAGATCATGAACTATTACTGTAAGTAACTTATATTTAGATTTTTTTACTAATTTTTATCAAGTTCTTCGTAGGATTTCATTTTATCAACGCGTGGAGGCACGTAGATAACTAATTTTATGATTTGATTTTCGTCAAAGTCAAAGTTAATTTGAGGAAGTCAGCATTGTTAGAAGAAGAAAAAGAATGTACTCTAATGCAGTCTGTAAATCAAATGTTCAGACCAGTTTTTCTCAACACAGAAAAATTCTTTTTGGAATCTGAATCACGCTCAGAACGATATCATATTCGGCTTCTTTCGCGCTTTCCTCGAGTTTGGCAAAATTGTCTGAAAAACGGACTCTACGCCATAGTTCTTGCGCGCTCCTGGAGAGTGGTCAGAACAATAAGCTGATTAGGCTCGATAATTGACATTCAAACAATCATGAATATAGAGGTTCAATTTCTCGACCAATTCATTTTAAATAGTTCCTCAACACTTAAAGCAAGGTTTTTGAGATTCATTTAGTATTTGAGTATATTCGACAATCTTTTACCTTGAATAAATGCAGCTAATCTCGTCAGCATCATTGGCTCAAGTATATAACTTATTCATCTTGTTAGACATGACTGTTTGTGCCAGGCGAGACAATTAAGAGCAGTAAAACGTTTGATTGGGCCTAAAATTCTTGATAAAATTAAAAGTAATTTCGAAATTGAAAAAAATCTCTTTTCACCGGAATGTTTGTTTGTCCTGCAATTTATCAACTAAACGGTGTTTTTTTCGCCTTTTCTTCGAGTTCTGTTGGAGCAAGATGATTTTCCGGCGTTCTTGTTCTTCTCTGAGCACCTGGATTTATTTGTGGATGGTCTCATTTTTACCATCTGGACGATACTGTGCCAACCTTCGATGGAAGGTTCTGAATCAAAATAGTTGTGAATCTTTCTCTCCTTTACTACAATTTTTTCTGTATGAAACACGGATGTCGGTCTCAGATTCGTTTTTACACCTAAAGAAAATTGTATTTTTTTTTCATTTGAAAATTTTCACGCCCATCCAAGCTCCTTGATTTCGGAAAACGGATGAGGTAGCTTCTTACAACTATAGTTTAATAAAAGTCTGAAAAGTACCAAATTCTGCTTTTCCGAATTTGCGATAGTTGAAGTGATCTGTCTGACATTTTTTGAAATAGAACACTTTTTTAGATGTTCTATTAGATCTATCGAAACGCCGGCAAAAATAGTTTTCTGGTTCCCTATTAGATAATTTAGCTCGAGAAAAAGCGTCAACAATTCATTTTTTTTTCGTGGAATCCGAGTTTAAATTAGTAAAAACTTTGAAAATCTATGATTCCCCGATAAATTAATTTTTCGAAAACGTTGTTTTTGTCGACAACAGTGAGATAGGTTGATATTTTTGAAACTAGCATGATCCATTTCCTCAACTAAGAATAATACTTTTTTACACTTGCGAAGCAAAGTGTATTATATTAGTTCGACCTAAGTCGCAAATAAAAGTGCTACTTTTGGTGGAACTTTTGAATCGGTAGGCTGCGGTAGCATTATCGTATCATATGTGCTTTAACATTTGATTAGTAAAAAGTTAACACAGCTGATGCATTTTTAATTCATCAAATCAACCGAAAAAAAGTTATTTGTTTCAAACAGCGCTACAATGATAAAAACCTCGATTTCAGAATTCTTCCAACTCAATGTATCTTGCACTTTTTTTTTGAAATGCATAATTTATAATTTGGCTGTATGCTTTCCAATTTATTACATACAAAATTGTGTCTTTTTGTATTTGGTGCTGCTTTTGCTGCATCGAATTGGCAATTTATTAGCATATGTATCTGCGTTATTGGTGGCTAATTTTTGGGGATTTCATGCATCCGTGGCTGAGTGATTAGTACGTGAAACTCTAATTTGCTAGGTCGCAGATTCGAATCCGTTACGTAGCCGAGTGTCTGATTTCCTCTGTCTGATTTCCTTGATCGCTGATGATAAAATCTAAAGGCGCTTAACATTAGACATTTTTAAAAAAAAAAACTCGAATCAAGTGCAAAAAATTATGGTTTGTGTTAGCCGTAAACTAACTTTTCATTTCTTCGTTTTTTTTAAGCCGTTGTTTCTGCCGTTGTTTTACTGTGTAAAAGAATGAACTGATTTTCTCTTACATAGGTCTTGATGATTTTTTCTTAGTTATGTAGGAAAAGGTTTTGAACACAAAATAGTTACTGACACTCGGCTACGTAACGGATTCGAATCTGCGACCTAGCAAATTCACATAGATATATACACTTTTTTTTTAGTTCAAATCAATTTCATTTCCTAAAAGGTAGGCAAATTCCGCTCTCCATTCACGAAAGCATTAATGGCACGAAAAAGAAACTCGAATGATTTCTATTTTCGACAGTAGATTTTAATTATCGGATTTCCCTGCGTAATAAAGAGTTTACCCATAAATCAAGTGTTATATATTAAATTGGGTTAATTTTAAGAAAAAAGTGTCAATAATATACAGTGTGCCAATATATACACTGGCAAGCTGAAAAATGTTGAACATTTAAACATTTTTTCGGTTTTCTTGTTCTTCTTCCAATCGGTTTTCTTTTCCAACCTGTTGGCTGGTTTGTTGGTTGTAGACCATCTCTTTTTTTTAAATTATAATTTCGCGTTTTTCTTGGGCTTAAATGGCTTCGGCTGATGTGTTATCTGTTTAGTTGCTTCACAGTTTGTCGTTCGAAAGACCAAATTTAAAAAAATTCATCTTTGTTTCCGGTGGCCAATGTAAAATTTGGGAGTTTCAAAATCTAAAATAGTTCAAAATTGTTTTTTGTCCGGCTCAACAGTCGTCTACTCAAGTATTGTCTGCTCAGGTACCGCTTGATGACATAGTATTCAATTAATATTTAACTCTGGCAATTGTTTCTCAGTATCTGTCGTCAAATTAAACTGCATTTGAGACAATTTTAAACGAAGTCATGTTTTCGCATTTCTATGTTTTGTTTCGGCTCAGTGGCTCTTGTCCTATTTTTTTCGACTAGCTGCCGTGCTTTTTTTGTTGTATCACAAGTGGTGCGAAGCTCCTTTTAGACTGTGTCAGAAATATTAAATACCAAATTCTTGGAGCTCTATTTCAGTTCTTTCCTCTAATAGCTCGCTTTTTTCGCTTGAAATTACACGAAAAACCAAAAAATTTGATCCGGTTTTTCTCGACACTGGGAAAAAAATTTGGAAGCACGACTGAAAGGGCTTTAAAATTATATATCACTTGACCTTGACGACTCAGTTAGATTATCGAAACTTTCAGTGGTCGGAACAATAATCCTGTGTTTAACTATTACTGTTTTAGGAAGTTCTGTGCAACTTGCCGGCTACTCTTACTCTTATTGGTTTGAGTCCTTCAGCTTGATGGATGTAATTTTGTATTTTCTAATTTCAGAATGGCAACCAGTATTCTGCCAAACTGGAAAAGCTCCACCAGTGCAACAATGGAGTTGTGTTCCTGTTGCAAGAGATCTACAATGCGAATGCAGAAACTTCTGAACCCAGTGGGGGGAGGGGCCAGGCAGACGAGGACGCAATTGCCCCGTGCGAGAGCGCCCCCAGATTCGAATGCCAGATTTGCTTAGATAAACCAATGTTCGTATATATCTATATGATGAATATGGGTTTGTCGTTCAGGGCGATTTGAATTGACCAGAAATGCGTTCTTTAATTATTATAAACCTTTTTAGTGCTGTTTTGTCAAAAAGTGAAGGTTTTTTTTGTAAAAACCAAAGGTGATTAGGTAATGCTCATGTGTTGCTTACCCATTGCCACTCTCTCTCAAGTTCACCGTAAACCGTTTTCTAGCTTTTACAGGTTATTAGTGCTTGGATGCTGTACAATGAGCTCAAAAAAACATGTTCTTTATTCCTTGCAGGGACTCTGTTCTTCTGCCGTGCAGACATCTGGCCTTCTGCTCGGGCTGTGCAGTGGCCATGAAGTTGCACAAGAGTCTGTGTCCCTTCTGCAGGAAGCCTTACCTAGTGGTGCTCCAGATATTCTTCCTGAAGAGAGAGTCAGAGTGCTCTATGGCGGAGAAAGAGGCGGCCATGAACCTGGCACAGGCACTAGCCGAGCAGGCCAGGAACAACACATGGAGCAACCAGGGGGTACGTTTGCGCGCTTAACTAGTCTCTATAAGTTTTTTAAGATGAAGTTGTCTTTAAAGGCTGTTCAAAGTGAAATTTGCTTTGATAAGAATCCAGAAATACGTTGACATTCATGAAGAACAGACTGAAAAATATGTTGATGGAAATAATGTGGGAATTTGTTAACGAAAAGTTTTCCTTATCAAACGTCCTCACCTGGCAATTCTTTTGCGATTGCAACAGATGCAGAAATATATGGACAGTATTTTAGACTGTGACCGGACTCACAGCCCATCAATCCTAATTGCCAATCCCAACCACAAAAACAACATAAGGCATGGTTAAACACGCTAGTTTGAACACGTGAACAGATTTGAACTACGTTTAAATATTGATGTATTACATTTTCATTTGATGTCTTTTAAATTTTTTCGTGCATCGAGCAGAGGGTCCAGTTTGAGGCTACGGGTCATTGGATAAGATTTGGTCTTACAATTTAATAATTAAATACTAGTGATCATACTGGTGCAACATCTCGGAAAACTCGAAAAACATTTAATGTTTTCTTCTTTTTGCTGTTACAAAAGCATTTTATTTGTGACCTGAACTCAGCATCAGTGATTCATTTTTGTTTTGTATTTAGCAACCTGGCATGGTACCAGAAGGCATGCTTCGCCTCCCAATAGGCATAGTAGTCTGTCCGCCTGCGAAGAACCCGCTAGAAGGAGCTGCAGGGATGGGTGGGAGTTTTATGACAGGAGGTGGCTTGGGAACCCTGAACGGGAGCATCTCTAGGTCAAGTATCCATCGGCATGGATACGACACGCAGTTGTCCCAGCAGTCGGTCGCCTCGATTCACATCGGTGGAGGAGGCATGTCGCCCAGTGATTATGGCACTTCACAGTTTGGACGAAGTGGCACGCTCGCTTCGAAATTCGAGTTACCAAACGCAATATAGTTCGTTTATATTTTTTCAAATTGGAAAAAAAGTTGCGTTTAATCTTGGGTAATTGATACGTAATTGCGTAAAATTTTTGCTTTATTATTTTTTAAAAACTCTTGTTTGAGATAGTTATTCTGAATAAACACAAAAGTTGTTCAGATTAAACACAACAGAGTTTTTTGTTAAAATTAGTTTTGTCCATTCCCCGCCCCTCTCAATTTGAAGGATATTACAATACTTATATATGCAATTGGTAATGAATGCCAGAATAAATTTAACCATTCAAACTTTGTTTCAGTGAGAAAGATGAGCATCGCAATGAAACTATTCAACGCAATCCAGCTACCATTACCCATGTAAGTACTGATTTTCAAATGTTCACTAGCCATTCATCAACTGTGGTTTCAATGCTGAAAAAACTCAAAGCAGTGTATTGTCGTATAACATTTAATCTGAACGTATACCGTATTAAACATGGGAACGTAAAAAATTCCAAGATTGCGAAATGTTCCCCCTTGCAGTAAATATTTCAGATGAAAAAATTTGCACTTTTGAAAATCTTTGACCGTAAAAAGGGCATTTCTGCAAATGTACAGCCCCTAAAATTTTCTTATCGTTTTGCTCCGAGGCGTTTTTTTTGAAAGGATTTTCTAAAGGATTCATTAGACGAATAGCTTCTAACTAGATTCAAAAATAATTTGCGTTTAGCGCACGTGATAAACAAATGAGTTGTCGTGTAGTCGTTTTCTGCATATAAGAAATAGGGTTATTTAGTTTATTCTGTCGTGAAACATGTGCGACTTGAATCGAAATTTGTCATGCTGGCTGAGTTCCGAGGTTAAAGATTTCATGTATCATTGTCTGGGAATGCTTAACTTTAAGCTTGCCTGTGGTACACTTTCTTCGAGAAATAGGGCAATTTTAGGGCTTCAGCGTATCTTTAAACACTGGAATTGTCCACTTAATAAAAGGCCGACCAAAAATCACCCCAATCTGTCTTAAAATTGCGGTGAACCAGGAACATTTATAGCATGATGTGGGGCGATATATTATTGAATTAAATTTTCTAGTTTTTCATGTGTACTGCAGATTTATTAAGAGTCGATGAACGTAGTTCAGACTCTTATATAGCTCGCGATATTTTTTTTGTTTTTTTAGGAAAGTTAATTTCCTTTGTCAAAAGAAAGCCAAACACAACGATTGAACAGCAAAAGTGTTAAGGTCACGAAAATTGTGATCGACGTCTTATTTCGAAAGTGGGTTTTAGTTATCATATTTCCTGCGAAGTAAAAAAACCTGTTGACTCAGTTTTCTCGATTTTTGGTTAAATTTATCAAAATAGTGTCAATCATTAATCAAAGGGCTTTAAGATCGTCTATTTTTCTTTGAAATTCGAAAATTGTTTTTTTTTTTCAAAAAAAAGCAAATCAATGTTTTTTTCTGTTTACGAGCGTTAATTGACTCTTTCCAACTGTCTGTAGGCCATATTTTATTAAGGTGGTCGGAAAATTCTGTGCTACTTCCTTAGCAATCGGCTATCCTTGTTTTTTTTGGTTTAGCTGATGTCTTCGAACCTGCTCTAAGTATATGACCCTACCTCCCCGCACACCTCTTTCTTCAGTGGAAAGATATTCAACCACCAAATACGCGCATTGTTCCATGAACTTGGGATTAAAGATTTACCTGTTGTTCCAGTTTTTCAAATTGAAAAGATAGTTTTCTGTAAAAAAAGACATGATACCTCCAACTTGAGCTGGGCTCCTAGTTATCTTTTATCGAGACAAACAAAAGTTTTGGTTCTTATTTTTTTTTCGACTTTGTCTACTTAAACGAGCGTAGCGTAGTGTGATAGAACGATGCAACTTAACCAAAGTCGCAAAAAAGTGCTACTTTTGGTGGCACTTTTAAATCGGTAGGCTACATAACCAATATAATCCCAAGTGGTTTGAAATTTGGTTAGTAGAAAGCTAACACAGTTGGTGCGTTTTTAATTCATCAATTGAACCGAAAAAAGCTATTTGTTTCATACAACAGTATTATAATTAAAATCCTATTTCAGAATTTTCTCAACTCGCGTTTTTGTTTCAAATGCATAATCTATACGGAATTTGGTTTAATATTTTCTAATTTATTACATGCAAAGTTAGTGTGGTTGCCTTGATTTTATCACATTCCAAATTTGTGCATTTGTTCGTTTTTGTGCATTTTAAAGATTCTGAATATTTGCCGCTTTCTCGCTCGTGTATGCGAAGCTGCAGCTTTGCCTCTGTGAATATATTTCTTTTGGTATTTTTTTTTTCGATGAACGTAGTTCAGACTCTTATATAGGTCGTGATGATTTTTTCAGGAAAATTTGTTCAGGCTTAAATTATCTTTTTCGCAATTTGATTTTTGATTTTTTTAAGTTCAGTTCATTTCTTCTGTTAAAATGAAGGCAAGCTGCACTACCGAGCAGCGAAAGTGTAAAGGTCACGAAAATTTAAAGATAAAGGTGACTTACAGTTTCGAAACTGGATTTTAATTATCAGATTTCTCAGCGGAATAAAGTTTACCTGTTGATCCAGTTTTCTCGAATTGGATTATTTTTATCAAAAAACGTGTTAATCATAAATTGTTCTTGAAGTTCAAAGAGCTTTAAAGCCATCTATTTTTTTTTCGAAGGTCGAAAATGGAGATTTTTCTAAAAAAAACAAGTCAGTTTTTTTTGTTTATTTGCGTTCACCGACTCTTTTTCAACTGTCTGTTGGCTATGTTATTTTTTGCTGAACTCGTTAGGTCATTCAAAGTTTATTACCTTTCAGAATTCGAGAGCTCTGCCCAAAGTGCCCGGAGACGAAGACCATGAAACAATGGCTACTGGAACTCCCACGCGATACCAGAGCTACGAAGCACTCGACAGCGGGATGAAGTCTCCGGGTTATAAGATCAATAGCAGCGCCAGCTCCAACGCCGCAGAAGTACACGCTTCGAATCCATCTCTGCAGAACACACCTGTATCACAGAGAAAACAACAGAAAGGTCACTCAAGATACGGTTTTGTAACAGAGATTTTTACGCTTGTGATAAGCAAGCGTGTTCAAATCGGAACATGGGGACTTTTTTCAGGCAAACAATTGGTCGTGTAGAATCTATGAATAATTTCAGATGCATTAACTTATTAAAAGTCAATGGACGTAGTGGGCAAGCAACTTTTATAAGGAAAGTCTTGATCATAATTTGTTTTAAATTTAATGAGCTTGAACGTGATTTATTTGTCATTTTACCAACACTGATTGAGAATCATGAACGTAGTGAATACTCATATGTAGGTCTTGGTGATTTTTTTGGTTTTTCCAGCAAAAGTCTTTTATCAGGCTCAAATTTACTTTTTGGCAGTTTATTGAAAGGAAGGCATACGTCACTATCGAACAGCAAGAGCGAAAAGGCCACAAAAACGTGATTGACTTCTAGAATCGAAAATAGAATTTAATTTTCAGTTTTCTCAGCAAAATCAACAATGTACCTATTGATCCAGTTTTCTCAAATGGGGTTAATTTTATCGAAAAAATGGCAATATTAAATTGCTCTAGAATTTCAAAAAGCTTTAAGGCCATAAAATTTTTTATGTGGAATTCGAAAATTGAGAAGTTCTTTTATTAATTCCTCTTTTCACGGCCCTTTTCCAACTGTCTGTTGGCTTGTTTTTTTTACCCTTGCGATAAGTAAGGGTATTTCAATTTTTGTCCCGCTAGTAATTTTGTCCTCAGGATCGTCACTTCTAGAGGATCTTCACTTCTAGAGGATCTTTCAAATTTAAAGAAAATTACTATCACTTAAGTAGTAATTAGTTCAAGCGCGTTTCAGGTTTTCATTAACTTTTCAAAAAAATTTCTTTTTTCATTCGGGTTCGTGGCTTTCGTCCTAATTTCTGTCGATTTATTTTTTTTATAAATCGCCATTTTTTAATCTGGTAGGGTTTTGTATTTTACTTCAAAAAATGGATTTTGTTCCAATTTAGACAGTTTTTACTATAACTGAAACTTCACATTTTTGTAAATTTACCATGTCTGATTTTGATGTTTTTTTTAAATATTCAATTAGTTTTAGTTTATGTCATATCGACTCAGTCAAGTCATTTTGCGTAATTTTGACTTAGTCAACTCATTTTGCGTAATTTCGAGTGCTAAATGTATTGGAATTCTGTGTTTAGTTTGGATTTGCCGTAAAAACTTTTCATTTTAATGAAACTTTTTTTGACAACAGTTTTGTTTTTGGCTCAACAGGTTTCGACTTAGAATTTTGTCGACTTTGTTGTCGCTCTGTTAATGATTTCCATTTTTAAGGGCTCTTTATGAACTTCATCTGATACTAATTTCAGCTTTCGTCAAATTATTTTTTCAAGTATTTTTTCCAACTACATTTTTCAGAAAATTTTTTTTGACTTCTGTTTTTTCTTCTTTCATTATTTTCTACCGCAATTTGTGATTTGCATCGCAAGTGTTGCGAAGCTCCGCTTCGCCTATGTGTATTATTTACATTTTATTTTTTTGCTTCAAAGATTTGTCGGCCTAAATATTTACGAAATTTTTGCAAACAAAATTATTTGTTGAAATATTTTTTTTCATTGTTTCGTGTGTTATTACCCTGCGATAAGCAATGGTATTGCAACCGGGTGCTAGATTTTCCCCATAAACAACTTTGTCCACAGGACTCGTCTGGACTCATTTCGTCCTTGTTTCGTAATCTGTGTTCAAATTTCTTAGTATTCATGTATTCAAATTGCTTTAAGTGTTTGATTTGCTTCAACAATTTGTAATTTTATTTGCCTTGAGTTCGTACGCACTTTTTTGTTTTGCTTGAAAATTTCTCGTATTTCGGCCTATTTTTTATTGGATTAATGACCTAATTTTTGGTCGTTTCAAGAGAAAAACAGTTTTAACACTCCCCTCCGCTTTTTTTTTCAATTTGGTAGTATGTGTACCCATCGGTTTGTTGAAACTTCAATATTTTTCGTTTTGGAATTTTTTGAGAACTCTTTGGAAAATTTTTACTTTTTATCAGAAACTTCAAAAAAGGGGTATCAATGGAAAGACTGATTACTCCCCTGTGTGCAGGTGTACTCCCCTAGAGTCTTTTTTTATTTGACCCCGCTTACGACAGCCTTCGAAAAAGTCGGTAGAATATTCTCAAAAACGACTCTACCGGACCTGAGATTTTGGGTTCAATTCTTGGAACGGGTTTCGGAAAGCTCATTTGCTTATGCGAATACGTTCAAATTTTTTTGGAGTCAAGTTTTGGCCCTCGGAAAAGTAAAAAAAAGTTTGACTCGTTGACCGTTTCTTCTTAAAGTTTTTTACTTTTCTCGAAAACTACTCTCACAAATTTTAGATTTTGGTTTCAATCGAAACTACATCTTTTCTGCATAATGTTTCTGCATAATTTTTCTACACAAAAAGCTCGTCAATTTTTTGTTGACCGTTTTTTTGGACCTTTTTCGCTTTTTATCCTGCCTAATCTGATATTATAGGGTTAATCGAATGAACAGTTTGTTAAGAGTCTACCTTTAGAATTGGCTATGACCAGATTGCTTAAGAAGAAACTTATGGCCTTCAAACAGGTCAAAGTTTTGAATCTTCGACAGTTTTTTTGGAAGTTTAATGACTTTACGCAAAACTACCGGTTCAATTCTCAGGTTGTTTTATTCGAAAACCCCGGCTTCGGAAATTTTCTCTGCTTAAGCGGCCATAACCTGCTGTTTTCAGAAATCCCATATGAATTTTGAAAAGTCTTCTGAACGTTTTGAACTTTCGACCGTTTTGATGGAAACTTTTTGAGTTTTCTTATAATTTACACAATCAAATCTGAAATTAAAAGTTCCATTGAAAGAACGGGTTGCGATAACTTCTTCTGCAGAAGAGGCGATTCTTTAGTTTTGGGTAAGAGAAATTTATCTGATTATCTGATAAGAAAACTGATTATCTCAAAATTTCTTTCTTTTCCCACTTATTTTACTTGAGAAGCAACTAAGGTTTTAGGCGAAGTCCAATTTTAAAATCACACTTTTCTTTTTCGTGCCGCATCAGTATAGCAAATTCATTCAATGTCAAACAGGTACCTCCTGCTGCTGTAGCTGGACCCGTAGTTGTTTTTTATTGAGGCCTACGAAAGTTTGGTTAACCTAGTTTTTTTCATTATTTAAAAAAAAATTTCGACTTTTTGTTTTGCATTGCAAGTGATGCAAGCTCCACTTTGCCTGTGTGTTCATTTTTTGAAGAAAACTATTGTCAATCTTGCCTTGTTTACTAACATTCGATTAGTGCTTTCATCACACCCCTGAGAAAAAAAACGAAACTAATTTGAAAAATCTGACATTTTTTCTATGATTGTGGCCGGAACCTTCTGCGCCACTTGCGCAGCAACCGGCTGTCCTTGTTCGTTTTCATGTTCAGGAAAATTTTCTCGCTCAAGTGTGTGTTTTATCGTTGATTTCTGTCTTTTATTCTGTTAAGGATTAAATAAATTGTCCTATTGTTCCGAGCATTTGAAAATTTTGAGGAATTTTGTATTCGAATCTCTTAGTTTTTATATATATATTATACACGCGAAATCAGGTACCACAAATAATCATCGAAAGGGGTGGAGTGATATATCATGTTAAAACCTTTTCAGTCGTGATTCGAATGACTTAAAAATTACTTTGAAAAACTTTTCTGAGTGTCGAGCAAAACTAGTTTTACGCAAGCGAAGCGTAGTGTATTATTACGAAGATTTTTTTCCTAATCTAAGTCGCAAAAAAAAAAGCTCAGTTAGTGGCATTTTTGGTATACTTCACTTTAATCGTTTTTGAGCTGATTTAAGCATAAACAAATTAATTGCTTATGCTGTTCCTTTTTTATTTTTGGCTAGTGTTTGGTTTCATTTTATATGTAAATGAATGAAAATATTTTATCAGAAATGTATGGGATTTGTATGGGAAAATTTCAGTACGGGCAATTCTGAACTGTTTGTTTTGAGTTCTTTCATTTTCTCAAACGACCCCAGTTTTTGATATCTATCTATCTATCTATCTATCTATCTATCTATCTATGTATATCGATATCTATAATTAAATGCGTGTGACAGCATTTGCACAGCTTGAGCATAATAATTTTGCATGTTTAACGGAAGAGTTTTTTCATATTTAAGCTATATCATATATTGCAATGCTTAGAAAAACTTTACTATCTCTATTTTTCTATCTCTCTCTATCCTTCTTTTTCGATCCTTCTTTTTCTATCTTTCTTTTTTTATCTTTCTGTTTCTTTCTTTTTTTTCTGTCTTTTTTATCCTTCTTTTTCGATTTTTTTTTCTAATTTTTTGTCCATCTTTTTTTTCTATCTTTTTTGGATATCTTTTCATCTTTTTTTCTTACTTTTTCTCTTTATTTTTTGATCTTTCATTTTCGATCCTTCTTTTTCTTTACTCGTTTTACTATCTTTCTTTTTCTATCTTTTTTTCGATCCTTCTTTCAATTTGGTTTCGACGATTCAGTTCAAAACAATGGTACTACTGTCAAATGGTTGTCTCCAATCTTTCTCTATCTTGATTTTCTATCTTTTTTTCGATCTTTTTTCGATCCTTCTTTTTTGATCTTTTTTCCATTTTCTCTTTGATTTTTTTTCTACCTTTTTTTCGATCCTTCTTTTTTGATCTTTTTTCCATTTTTTCAAATTTTTTTTCTGTCTTTTTTTCGATCCTTCAATTTTTTAAATCTTTTTTCTTTCTTTTTTTTCGTTTTTTTTCTATTTTTATTTTTTTCTATCGTGTTTCTTTCTTTTTCTATCTCTCTTTTTCTATCTTTCTTTCTCGATCCTTCTTTTCCTATCTTTCTTTTTTATTTTTCTGTTTCTATCTTTTTTTTGTCTTTTTTATCCTTCATTTTCGATGTTTTTTTTCTATCTTTTTTTTCTATTTTTCTCTTTGATTTTTTTCTACCTTTTTTTCGATCCTTCTTTTTTGATCTTTTTTCCATTTTTTTAAATTTTTTTTTCTGTCTTTTTTTCGATCCTTCAATTTTTTAAATCTTTTTTCTTTCTTTTTTTTTCGTTTTTTTTTCTATTTTTATTTTTTTCTATCGTGTTTCTTTCTTTTTCTATCTCTCTTTTTCTATCTTTCTTTCTCGATCCTTCTTTTCCTATCTTTTTTTTTTATTTTTCTGTTTCTATATTTTTTTTGTCTTTTTTATCCTTCTTTTTCGATGTTTTTTTCTATCTTTTTTGTCTATCTTTTTTTTTCTATCTTTTTGCGCTTTTTTGTCTATCTTTTTCATCTTTTTTCTTTTACTTTTTCTATTTTTATTTTTTTATCTTTCGTTTTCGATCCTTCTTTTCTTTACTCGTTTTTCTATCTTTCTTTTTCTATCTTTCGTTTTTAATCCTTCTTTTTCTATCTTTCTTTTTCTATCTTTTTTTCTGATCCTTTTTTTTGTTTTTTTTCTACCTTTTCTTTTTTTTTCTATCGTATTTCTCTTTCTTTTTCTATCTTTCTTTTCCAATCTTTCTTCTTCTATCTTTCTTTTCTATCTTTCTTTTTCTATCTCTCTTTTTCTATCTTTCTTTTTCTATCTCTCTTTTTCTATCTTTCTTTTTCTATCTTTCTTTTTCGATACTTTTTTCTATCTTTCTGTTTCTATCTTTTTTTCTGTCTTTTTTATCCTTCTTTTTTGATGTTTTTTCTATCTTTTTTTCTTTTTTTTTGTCTATCTTTTTTTCTATCTTTTTTGCCTATCTTTTCATCTTTTTTTCTTACTTTTTCTATCTTTATTTTTTTATCTTTCGTTTTCGATCCTTCTTATTCTTTACTCGTTTTTCAATCTTTCTTTTTCTATCTCTCTTTTTCTATCTTTCCTTTTCGATCTTTCTTTTTCGATCCTTTTTTTCTATCTTTCTGTTTCTATCTTTTTTTCTGTCTTTTTATCCTTCTTTTTCGATGTTTTTTTCTATCTTTTTTGTCTATATTTTTTTTCTATCTTTTTTGCGCTTTTTTGTCTATCTTTTTTCTTTTACTTTTTCTATCTTTATTTTTTTATCTTTCGTTTTCGATCCTTCTTTTTCTTTACTCGTTTTTCTATCTTTCTTTTTCTATCTTTCTTTTTCGATCCTTCTTTTTCTATCTTCCTTTTTCTTTTTTTCCCTTTTCTATCTCTCTTTTACTATCTTTTTTTCCGCCTTTCTCCATCCTTTTTTTTCGATCTTTTTTCTATTTTTCTCTTCGATCTTTTTTCTATCTTTTTAAAATCTTTTCTATTTTTTTTCGATCCTTCTTTTACGATTTTTTTTCTCTTTTTTTTTTCATTCTTTTTTTTTCTTCTTTTTTCTTTTCTCGATCTTCTTTTTTCTATTATATATTCAAATGGGGGCTTCACTATCGACCCATGCTTAAGCCTTTTCAACGTATTAGTTTTGCCTGTATTACGAAAGAATTTTATCATGTTTATGTTATATCGTACATTGCAATGGTTAAAAATTGTTTTTTTTTTTTCATTTTCCAGTTTGATGTCAAGGATTATTTCATCAATTTTGAAATTAGAAAACTTGAATTTGAAAATTTTCACAAAATTTGATGTTTTCAAACCTGTTATGGGGTGCTGTCAGAGCACTCTCAGGGATTGCGAATCTTGCCTCCAAATCTCACTTCTCAAATCCTTGTAGATTTCGAGATATGACATTTTTTATGATTTTTTTAAATTGTCAAAAAACAACACGATAGAGATTTTGAAGATTTACATCGTCTAGTTGGCAACTCTGAGGTTACCCTACGGACTTGCCTTTGAATGTGACTGTTAAAATCCTTATAGATTTCGAGATGTGACGTTTTTTAGGATTTTTTCAAAGTTTTTCTAAGAACTGAGATATAAAAAATTTCACAAAATTTGACGGTCCCATCTTATAGTGAAGCTCTAACTGGAGACTCCCAGGAGTTGCGAATTTTGTCTCAAGATATGACTGCTCAAATCCTTGTAGTTTTCGAGATATGACGTTTTTTTGTGTTTTTTTTTTTCAAAATTTTTCATGAAAACAAATTTAATTTTTTCTTCAAAATTTGAAATCCCCATTTTTTAGAGAGGGCTGTCAGAGTACTCTCAGGGGTTGCAAATCTTGCCTCCAGATGTGACCACTCAAATCTTTGTATTTTTGAGATATGACGTTTTTTTATCGTTTTTTCAAAAAAAGTTACAGAAAACTTCAATTTAATTTTTTTAAGAAAAAATTGTGAAATTTCTTACACCTTAGTTGGGGGCTGTCAGAGTACTCTCAAAGGTTGCGAATCTTGCCTCCATAAATGACTGCTCTAATCTTTGTACTTACCAGATATGACGTTTTTTGTGATTTTTTTAAATTTTAACAGAAAATTTAAATTTAATTTTTTTTTGAATTGGAAGTTTCTAACCCTGTAGCTGGGGGGCTGTCAGAGTACTCTCAGGAGTTGCGAATCTCGTGTGCAAATGTGACTGCTCGAATCTTTGTCTTTATGAGATATGACGTTTTTATGGGGTTTTTATAAAGTTTTTTAGAAAGTTTAAGTTTGAAGTTTCTCAAAATTTCGAATTCCCAATGTTGTAGTCGGGTAGTGTGAGAGACTCTCAGAAGTTTCAAATTTTGCATTCGAATGAGACTGCTCATTTGCTTTCAGTTTCCGAGATGTGGCGTTTTTCGCTATCCTTTTAAATTTCACAGAATTTTATTGTTTTTCAAAGTATAGGTAATTGGATGATGTCAGAGTACACTCACAGGATGCAGACGTTATTTACAATATCTGCGGTATTTTTTAAATTTGTTAAAAACTCGAAGCACCCGAAGTGCGTTACACACTAGTTTGATTATTTTTTGAAACTTTTTTCATAAACTACCCTGTCAAATCGGAGATTAAGGGTTTAACCGAAAGAAAAAAGCAGTGATGAAATTTTGCCCGTTTTTTTGGAAACTTTGTTTTGCTTCAAAAATTAACCTGGTGATCCTGAAATTGATAGTTTTTTCAAACTAACATGGTGCTTAGATTTTCCCTGCGTAATCCGTTTTTACCCTGTGTTTTTATAGAAAAGCTGATATGAACTTCGTAAAAATTACTTTTGAAGTTTTTAGCGTTTTTTAAAGACATTTCGTCACTATTCTCGAAAACTACCAGCTCAATCTGATAATAACGGTTCACTCTAAAAAATCAAGGTGCAAAAATCTTCAATTTAAAAATCAGAGTGGAAAGCAGAGTCTATTCTCATGCTTAAGTAGAAACAAGTTATGGATTTAGGAAAAGTCAAGTTTTCGATCGATTGTTAGAATCTTTTTCCTGTTTTTGAAAACTACCCAGCCAAATCTGAGATAAAGATTTCACAAGAAAGAGAAAGTAGTTTTGTTTTCGTTTTTCTGCAAATCTTCGACTGAAGCAGAGAAACACTGGGGTTTACCGTAAAGTCCAGTTTTTGAAATTTTTAAAATTACTTTTTCCGCAGCAGTACAATATATCAATAATAGAAATAGAAAAGGTAGATCCAGCCTTAGCTGGGCCTCTAGTTTACTTCCAAGAGACCGTGGCGAAGAAAAGAGGTTGTGAGATACGTAATCAACACTTCGGATATTCATGTCCGGAACATTTAAATTGTTTGATTTTGTTAGGTTGAATTTTTGCTGCAGAACACTGGCAATTTGATGAACTAGCTGCTTTATTGATGGCTGAAGTTATTAAACTTACAAGCGGCGGTGGGGCAGATGTGAGAACGTGATACTTCTAACCTTACTAAAACATTATCAATTGTTTTTTGAATTTTTTCCTTATTTTGTTTGCCTGTTTGAGCTCTTTTTTGTTTGCTTTTTCCTGGCTTGTTTGCGAAGCGGAGCTTGGCTTCTGTGAATTTTTTTATTTTTGGCCTAATTTCAAGCTAATAATGTGAACGTGCAGGCTTACAATAGGTTTTTCATACTTAAGTTAAGCCGTAAAATAGTTTTGAGTTTTTTTAGCGCCAATTTGCATTTTTTTTTTGCTTTTTTAGTCATTAGTCAAAAACTATTTTTAATTGGCCTATTTTACTATGACTGATGAAAATGCCGAGTCAGATTTTTTTCATTCCGATCTATCACACCCCGCAGAAACAACGACACTAATATGAAAAGAAAATTTGTGTATTTTTCTAAGACTGGTCGGAACGTTCTGTGCACAGTATCCGGTTATCGTTATTTTGAACTCTTTTTCTCAAAGTTTTCTCGTTTACCAGGAACTCCATCGTCAAAGTCGAGAGGCAAAAACAAATTGGCAGAGCTACCGCCTCCTCCCGAACACATGCTGACCACATCAGGTCGTCAAGACAGCCAAGAGGAAGAATTAGAAGAGCGAAACCGAACCCTGGTGCCTGGAAAATTCCCTGGATCTTCGGGAGGAGACGCAAGTGGTGCTCATAGGGCGCGCTTCCCGGGCACTGTTAAGAGGGGTTTGTTTTATTTTTGTCTTGAAGAAAAATATTTACTCTTGTAGGATGGAAAATGGAAACGGTAAATTTTTTGTTTGACGTGACTTGCTCTGGAAAGTCCCCTCTTTGTCGAATGCAAGAATCTGAGATATTAAGATATAAAAAAACACTTTCATGTATTAATTTTCATGTATTTGTGAACTAATTTGAGAAATAAGATGAATTGGTTGGGTCCTTTAAGAATTGCAGTTTAGCAAATATGTCATGTTTGCGGTTTACAAGTGATCTCTTCATATTTAACAATGGACTTCAGTTCGAAATATGTTTTTTCTTGTCAGGCAAAAGATGTGTAAAAAGTTCAGCTGAGCTTTTTCAACCGCTTCCGTATTTAATCCTGTAAAGTTTGTAGATCTTCTTGTAATCTACGGCCTGTAATCGCGCTTGTCACACTAGAAGCAAACGAGTCTGACTCTTTTACTGATTTTAACCACCTTAAATCGTTCATAAACAGCAATTTTAAAAGACTTATAAAGAACATACACACAAACCGAGTGCAGAAAGCCATAGACGCAGACCACCGCCAAAAGTTCTCCTCTTAAGACCCCCAGAAGTTTCAAAAACTGCACAGACCCTCCCATGTTCGACTAGGTGCACCCACGCCCAAATAAGATCAGGATACAGCCCTTACTTAAATACTTATATGAATAGAATAGACCAAAATGTCCCTCCAAACTGTCCCTTCTGCCCTGCTCTGCTCCCAACACTGCGCTACATTTATTTAACTGTCACCAAAACAGAGCGAACTTGACCCCAATAGACTTGTGGCTTCGGCCGACGGAGGTCGCAACGTTCCGCGAACTCGAAGAGAGCATACCGGACGCGCGCCCAAAAAACGGGCTAATAAAAACAACAACAGTCCGTAGTTAGAAGAACCTTATAGAGAGATGTTTGCCTCTCTGGCTTATGCGTCTTCATAATGGGGCTTGCTGAGCTTGTAAGGATTAGACAACGCCCATAGATTGGTTTGGTCAGCATCAGGACATCTTTACGTTGATCGCTCGTTTTCTTTTAGACACACATAGATCCGATATTTATGAGTCAACCCCTAGTCCAAACAGCCGAGCTGCCTCAAAGTCCCCCTCACAGCAACCCAACTTCAAGAAACAGGTGGCTGATCATTTGGACAGGAAACTACCACCAACCATCGCAGCTGAGGCGAAACTCTCGGGCGGCAGAGATTCGCCCTCGGCTAGAAATCAGCCTTTACCCCAGATCCCACAGACGCCCTCGAGGGGGAAGAGTATGGACCAAGTAGAGGGTCTGCCTCCACCTCTGTTTAGATCCGGTTGGTTCTTTTTTCTCTCAGATTTTTCTAAAAACTAATCAGTTTTGATAATAACTGCAGTTAATTTTAAGCCGTACGGTTAAAAATGTGTTCGAATCAGCTTCGCAGTTTGAACTTGAATTTGTTTTGCTGAAATTTTATGGATTTTGTAGCAGTAAGTAAATGCTTTAATGAATAACTGCTGACCATTGTTTATTTCAGGAATTTCCCTGCAAACACTCCCTCACGGGGGAGCAAAGTTAATCAAACCGGGTATGTTTGCATGTATCGTCAGGTGTTTGTGAAATGACCATATAGAATAGATCATCTTTGAATATGCGCTTTTAACAACATTGAGTTTTGGAGCCACTTTTTACGAACAAAAAAATAATCTTTTAAAAGAAATTCTTGCGTTTTTACAACTGGTGCTTGCATTTCGTACTGTCGTGGGTCAAACCACTTGAAATGAACGAATTTCTACGTTTTCTTGGCGTTCACTTGTGATGCTGGAATTGTGAAAGATAATGGATGAAATGATTACGAGTCGATGAACGTTGTGGTGGTTTTTTTTTTTCATTCAGAGTTATGAAATTCCGTATTGAATACTCTTATGTATGTCCTGATAATTTTGTTTAAGAGTAATGAACGTAGTGAAGACTCTTATATAGGTCTTGCTGATTTTTTTTGTTTGTTTTTCAGGAAAAAATCTAAAAATATTGATTCACTTGGGTATAATGCACTTTTTGAGTTCAATTGAAATTCATCAGCTGAAAGTGACGTAAATAGCACTCTCCAAATACAAACGTGGATCCAGTTTTCTCAAGTTGGGATCAGTTTATCAAAAAAGCGCCTCTCATAAATTGCTTTAGAAATTCAAAGAGCTGAAAGGGCATTTATTTTTTTCTTTGAAATTCGAAACTTTCTTCGAGATCCAACTGTCTGATGGCTAGGTTCGCTTTTTGGAAACTTTTTATTTTCTTGAAAAATACCCTGCCAATTCATAGGTTTAGGGTTCTATCGATAAATCCGTTTGTGTGAATTCTCACTGCGCAATGGGATTCTACATATTCTCAGTTGAACAAAAGAGCTTTTCGGAAAAGTCAAAATTTTGAACTTTCGACGTTTTTTAAAACTTCTTGACTGTTCTCAAAAACAAACCTCAGACTTCTCCACTGCATAATATTTTAGGCCCGTATATTTGTAGAAAAGAAGTCTTTTTTTAGGAACAGTTTTTTGGAAACTTTTTGACTTTTCTCAAAGCTACCCTACTAAATCTAGTACCATACTACAGGACATTGCTTTTATCAGTATGTACGAAATTTAACATTTTTTTCGGCAAAAATTTCGTTGTCTGCTCAAGTTTTGTCGACTTAGTTGGCCATAGTTGCCACATCGCCGATTTTTTGTATGCTGTAAGCAAGTATCATGGTAGTTGCAAGTGGTACTCAAGGGACTTGAAATTTTTAAAACTTTTTATTAAATCAGTTTTTTTCTGGCTCAACTGGTGTCTGATAAAGATTGTCGGCTTTGTTTCCGCTTCGTAAGTTTTATTCTGTTGCCAAGTTAAAACCTAAATGTCTTGCTTGGCATGTTAAACTAGAACTCTGTTAGATGAAAACTCCTGTTTTGATTTTTTTCTAGTTTCTCTTAAAAACTACGCTTCCGATTTCCATAAAAGGGTACCAATGGAAATACTGCTCACTGATCTGCGTGGCTGCTTAATCCCCTGGTATCTTTTTACATTACCCCACTGTCTACAGCCTTCAAAAAAGTCTGCGGGGCAATATGGCAACATTTCACCCATCTTTTGGATTTTGTTTCGTTTTGAAAAACTCTACCAAATCGGTGATTTTGAGTTAAATGGATAGCACGATCTGTGGGAAGCTCCCCTGCGTAAAAGCGTGCGCCCAATGTTTTGAAAACCAAAAGTTTTGGCCCCGGTATTTTGAATTAATTGATTTTTTGACCGTTTTATTCTTTGACTTTTCTCGAAAACTACCTGCCCAAAACTGAGATTTTGGGTTCAATCCAAAGAGCTGTTTGTGATAAACTGTTTTTTTAACTAATTGATGAGTTTTAAGTGATCTCAGGAAAAGTCTCAAATGTTTTTCTGGCTCGATTTTGATTTTTAGTTGTTTGAATTTTTTCAAGTCAAGTTCACATTTGTTTGCTGAAAGGAAAGTAAATAAATTATGCTCTACAATAACAAAAGTATATGGTGCGAAAAAGCGTGATTGACTTTTTTCGAAAATTGAAGTTGAAGATTTTATTAGTCCAGCTCTCTTTATGTCGGTCAGTTTATGAAAAAAAAATGTCAATCGTAAAATATACTTGAAATTCAAAGAGCTAAGTAAAGAATCTTTTTCCGAAAGTCAAAGTTGAAGTATAATCCAAAAGTATTATTCAAGTCATTTTTCTCAGTTGAAGTCATTGACACTTTTCCCACTGTTTACTGGCTTTGTTCGTATCAATCTTAAGCTCAAGAATGCAATTACTTGAGCTTTGTCTCTTAAGCTATCTGAAAGTAAGGCTTTAAGTGGGTCTTGTTCGTTTTTTAGGAAAAAGTTTTGAAACGCTCTGATAATTACAGATGTACATTCATACATAAAATGCGTTTTTAAATGCACTTAGGTATATATGGACTTTTCGAGTTCAATTCAATATCATCTGCTTAAAGTTAGGTAAATTGCGCTCTCCAAATACAAACGTGGAAATTCCGCGAAAAAGAGTGAACGACTTCGTTTCGAAATTAAATTTTAATTTTTATTTATCCTAGCTGAAACAAAAACAAAGTTTACCCGTTGATCCTGTTTTCTTAAGTTGAGTTATTTGTATAAAAAAAGTGTCAATCATAAATTCGTCTTAAAATTCAAAGATAATTAAGGCCATATATTTTTTTACTTTAAAATTCGAAAGTTTTTTTTTGTGTTTTTTTTAGTTAATTGACTTTTCAAACTGTCTGTTGGCTGTTGTCTTTAATAAGTTCTTAGATAAAACCTCTGTATCAGGTCTCCTCTGTATCAAGAAGATCTAGCCGTATCATAACTATAAAGTTATTATTTTTGAAGTGTTTTGCTGTTAAATCGGAACTAATTATCTTCCGAGAGACACCCAGGCATTTAGTTTTTGGGTTTAAAACTAGCTCCTTTTTAATTGTTATGTTTTAATTGGTCCACCATGCATCGTCCATAGACCATTCATCATGTATCAAAGTTCCAGTCTTTCATCACAAGTATCTGCAAGGAGAAAAATTGATGTTTCGACACAGTTCTTGCTCATCGGAGTCAACATCATCTCTCTCATCTAGTTTCCCTTGCGATGAGCAAGGGTATTGCTAACGGGTACTAGACTTTTTTCCCCTAAACAACTTTGTCCGCAGGACTCGTCTAGACCCATATCTACCTTGTTTCATAATGTATTCAAATTTCTTAGCGTTCCCGGCCAACTTAGCCTGGAGGTAACGAATATGCCTGGGAAGGCAAAGGTCCTTGGTTTAAATTTGACCAGGACCTGTTTTTTTTAACGGGAAATTTTCTGTTTCAAATAAAATTGTCGGCCAATTATTTGTCTGCTTATCTGTTGTCGGCTTAGTTGTCGCATCTTGGAATTATTTTTTTTTCGGCAAGGAATTTTTTGAGGTTGTTTTTAGTGTTTGATTTACGCCTACTTTTTGTTATTTTATTCACCTTGACTTCTTATTTCTTTTTGTTTCGCTAAAAAGTTCCTCGGCCAAAATTATTTCGGCCTATTTTTCATCGGCCTTATGCCCTAGTTTTTGTCCGTTTCAAGATATTGTGGGTCAAGGAGATAACGGGTTGTGGGAAGCTCCTCTGCATTAGTGGACACTAACAAAAGGTTGTACACAAGTTATCGCCCTCAAACATTTAATTTTTGATTTTTTCAACGTATTTTTAAATTTTGATTATTCTCGAAAACTACCCTGCCATACCTGAGATTTTGGGTTCAGTTCTTATGACGGCTTTCGTGAAGCTCATTTGATTATGCGAATACGCCCGAATTTTTCAAACCAAAAGTTTTGGCCCTTGGAAAAGTAAAAACTTTGATTTTGTGACCGTTTTTTTTTTGAAAATTTTTGACTTTTCTCGAAAACTACCCTCCCAAATCTGATATTATAGGTTTTATTAAATGAACTGGATTTCAAAAGCCTAACTTTAGAATTGGCTATGGCCAGTTTGCTTTAGAAAAAAGTTATGGCCTTCAAACAAGTCAAAGTTCTGAATCTGTGACAGTTTTTGAAAACTTATTGACTTTACACGAAAACTACCGGTCCAATTCTCAGGTTGTGTTCTATCGAGAAACCATGCTTTGCAAATCTTCTCTGCTTAAGCGGCCATAAACTGCTCTTTTCAGAAAAACTTTATGGTTTCTGGAAAGTTTTTTGAACGTTTTCTAGAACTTTCGACCATTTTTTGAATTTTCTTTACTTCAAAAATTGACACAATCAATTCTGAGATGAAAAGTTCCATTGAAAGAGCGGGTCGCGATAATTGTTTCTGCAGAAGCGGCGCTTCTCTATTTTTTTTGTGAGAGAATTTAATCTCCTTGGGAAAATTGATTATCTCAAACTTTCTTACTCTTCTCACTTATTTTAGTAGAGAAACAACTAAGGTTTTTTGGCAGTCTAATTTTTAAAATCACTTTGTACCGCATCATTGTAACAAATTCATTCAATTTCAAACACACTCTTCCAGCTTTAGCGGGGCCCGTAGTTGTTTTTTATCGAGACATGAAAGTTTTTGTTCGCCTAGTTTTTTTCAACATTTAAAATTTATTGACTTTCTCATGTTTGTGGCATCGAAAGAAGTGCGAAGCTCCGCTTCGCCTCTGTGATCAATTTTTGTAGACAACTATTGTCGATTATGCCTTGTTCAGTAACGTTCTACACATTCGATTAGTGCTCTCATCACACCCCGAAGAAAAAAAATTGAAAAATGACATTTTTTCTATGAATGTGGTCGGAACCTTCTGTGCCACTTGCACAGGAACCGGCTGTCCTTGTTCGTTTTCATGTTCAGGAAAATTTTCTTGCTCAAGCGTGTTTTTTACCGTTGATTTCTGTCTTTGATTTTGTTAAGATTTATATAAATTATGTCCTATTGTTCCGACCATTTGAGGAATTTTGCATTCGGAAATCTTTGTCTTGTTAATTTTATTTTACGCGCGAAATCAGGTACCACAATTAATCATCGAAATGGGTGGAGTGATACTTCATATTAAAGTGATTCGAACGACTTGAAAATTACTTTGAAAAACTTTTCTCAGTGTCGAGTAGAACTAGTTTTACGCAAGCGAAGCGTAGTGTATTATTACGAAGAATTTTTTTCTAATCTAAGTAGGAAAAAAATGCTCAGTTGGTGGCATTTTTGGTATATTTCAAATTAATCCTTTTTAAGCTTACTTAAGCATAAACCAATTAATGGCTTATGCTTCTGCTTTATTTTTGGCTAGTGTTAGGTTCCGTTTTATATGTAAATGTTTGAAAATATTTTATGCAAATTTATGGGATTTGTATGAAAATAGTTCCAGTACGGGGAATTCTGACCTGTTTGCTTTGAGTTCTTTCATTTTCTCAAACAACCCCAGTTTTGACATATATCTATCTATCTAAATCTATACTATATTTAAATGCGTCTCAGCTATCTCCCATGTTTTTGTTGGCAACTATTATCGATTATGCCTTATTCAGTAACGTTCTACACGTTTGATTAGTGCCCTCGTCACATCCGGAGAAAAAAAACTAAACTAATTTGAAAAATAAGACATTTGTTCTATGAATTTGGTCGGAGCCTTCCACACCACTTACACAGCAACTGGCTATCCTTGTTCGTTTTCATGTTCAGGAAAATGTTCTCGCTCAATTGTGTGTTTTACCGTTGATTTTTGTCTTCGATTTTGTTAAGATTTAAATAATTTATGTCTTATTGTTCCGAACATTTGAAAATTATGAGAAATTTTATATTCCGGTGTTTTAGTTTTTTTATTTTATTTTACACGCAAGTTTCTGCAAAAAGTTCAAAATTTTTCCAAAGAGTCGCAAAAAAAACGAAAAACAACAAATCCCGCTCGTTTTCATAATTTATTTTCATACATTTCATATAAAACGGAACCCAACACTAGCAAAAAATAAAGCAGCAGCATAAGCCATTAAATTGTTTATGCTTAAATAAGCTTGCATGCAAAATCAGGTAGCACAAAAATTGTCAGAATCGATTTGAGTGTCGAGCAAAACCGGTTGGATATTTTTGATAACTTAATTTCGAAAGAGGAAAGTGGGAGATCAACGTTTGTCTGATTAAATTTGCTTAAGTAGTGTCAAATTTAATTTTACTGGGGAAATTTTTGGAGCTGCGTTTAGCGCTTCCTTGTTAATGAAACTTATCGAACAAATCTAACAAAAGTTGAAAACTTTTGATTTCCTTTTGCCTTTTTTCTATTTAAGACATGAGTTCCATTATGATTAATTTGCAAAATTTCTAAGTTTTGGTGTTTTCTCTCATAGCAAAACGCACAAAAAATGGCACAAATGTGATTTTAGTTCTTAAGAGGAATATAGTTACAGGCGAGCGTATTATTATACAGTTTGACTTTTTTCAAATAATTCGCACATTGTAGGACAAAGTTTTAATCGCTAATAGCTAAGTTGTGTTAGTTGCTGATCTGATATCTAAAAATAAAGTGTGCGTGAAAGTAATCAAAGGCAATGCTCCGTTGCTAAATGGTTAAAGTATATGAAAATAGTGTCAATCATAAATAGTTTTTGAAATTTAAAGAGCTTTACAGCCATTTAATATTTCAAAGATGAGATTTTTTCCGTTTACATGCGTTCATTGACTCTTTTCCAACTGTCTGATGGCTATGTTTGAAGATATGGACGGCCTGAGCTCCAATATAAAAAAAAGTTTTTAACCTGTGATTGGTTTTCGTTAAGCTTTGGGAATTGCTTAATTAGAAAGTGTTTACACAAGCAATGCTTGTTATAGTTTGAACTATCTTTTTTCAACCTAAGTCGCAAATATTGTTGTGACGCAAATATTGTTGCGATAAAATGTGTTCATTTCAGTTTGATCAATAACCAGCTATTAAGTAGAGCCAATACTAAGGATATTCACATAGAATAATATTCTTCCGACTTTCGTAACGAAAGTTGCAAAATATTTGTGCTCGGGGTGGTTTTTTTTTCTTCAGACAAATTTCGACTTTTTAACTAGCCATTTTTGACTGGCTTTTTTGTATCATTCAAAAACTATTGTTGTACTGAGCTCAAATTTGGAAAGTTATTTCACCTGTGATCAATGATCATTTTTCGTAAAGTTATGGAGGTTTAAAAATTGCCATTTGCGCGATATATTTCGCGCTATTAACGCGTTAGCGGAGATTTAATCCGTCATAGAAATCGTTTCAAGTTGGTTGAAGGAAGCTTATTTGCTAATTGCTTTGTTACTAGGAGCGAAACTTATCCCTTTGTACCTAATATGGCGTGTGGGGGATGGTTTTTTACAAAAAATCTCAAATTAAAAAAAATCATCTTCTCATTCAATTTTTTCACGTTATTATTGCTCCACAGACTGCTGTATAAATTGAGGCAAGTTAGTTGGTAGTTTTTTTGTATCAAAGTAACTGGTACTGCGAATGCGTCATAATTGGCGTGCGTCACTTAAGAAGTTTTGTAGTTTTACTCATTCGTTTTCCCCAGTAGCGTTATCGGTCATATTTTTGCTTGTATGCGAAGTGCAATTTCGCTTCTGTGTTAAAAATGGGAATATTTCATTTTGTTGGACTAAATTGTAGATGATTTGTTTGCACTTTTATATTGGACAACGCATATAAGGGTGACTTGTGTAAGTGCGGTAAATTTCAATGCGGTCAAAAAATCTTACCATATTGAATTGAGATAATGCAATTGGTTTCCCTATTATACTGAATTTAATTTTTTCAGTAATTGGTTGTTCAGTTGTTGTGTTGTTAAGTTCTCTTTCAAAGCTTGTTTGTGTATTTTTGTCGTTTTAGAGCTATTTTTTTTACTTCTGTTAGCGAAGTGCAACTTCGCGGCCATGTTATTTGTTTTAGCCGTAAGAAAAAATGTTGATTCAGTTTATGAGATATTTATATCTGGTTATGACATTTTTCACTTTTTGCCTCAGTTTGAGTTGCTTCCATCAAAAATAATCAATCATAAAATGTTTTCACGTTTTTTCTGTGATGAAAGTGAAAATTAAGCAACCTTCTTTCGGTTCTTTAATTTCATTATTTTTGCCAGTCTGCTGGCTGGGTCCAAAATTGTTTTTTTTTGGTGTACCAGTTCAATTAATGCATGCTATTTGAAGAAATAAAAATTAAACAATTTTGTAAATGTTCCCGTGTTTAGGTCATAAATCGTCACCCTCGCAAAAGCAACATCACGTGCAAAGTCAGGATGCTCACTCAAGCTTGCAACACAGTGAGTAGTTCATAGTTTGGATAAAACTTACTCTTTTTTAGCATTTTCATGAGTAGAAAAATTAGCTGGTTGAATAGCAATTTAGCGTGATTTTTCACCTTATAACTGATAATTCATCAAAAACACTTATTTTTTCCTCAAACTAATTTCGAGTGAGAATATTGTAGATTTATTGTGAGAATAGCTGTTAAATGTTAACCTTGAATGTACCGCAGCGTCTCGCAATCTACCAGGACAAAATCTTAGCGGGAAAGTATTACGCAATGACGTGAAACGATTGCGTAATGATGACGTAAAAGTGAACATAGACGAGTCTGAATTAATATCTAAAGAAAAGTTGGTACAAAACCGAGCGATAAAGCCGCGACATAAGCGCGGTCGTTCAGTTGATTTTGAAGAAATTGTTCGTCCGGATCCCGAGATGATTACTGGAATCGAACTTAGCTCTCCCATTCATCAAGAAGCGTCCGGAACACTTTTGATTGATGAAAGAAATAAACAAGGAATTGAAGAAGTCAAAAATGAGCATCCGCCATTAAGCTACGCTAATTTGGTCTCGGCAGAAAGTAGCTCGAACTACTCCACGATTGACTGGAACTACTTGGCTAAGCAACGAGCCATCGCTAATGAGAAAATGAAAGTAGCTGTTGAACGAAATGGTAAAATGAGAAATAGTAATCCTAAATCGTTGTCGGCCTTGCCAAAGTTCAGTATGCCAGAAAAATGTTCGCGAATGCCTTGTTCTTTTTTTAAAATATGTTTTCAAAAAAGTGCTAGGTTGATGTAGCAGGTCAGGAATGCCTTGATTTTGTCCTGGGAAACTTTTTAATTTTGCCTGTCATGATTTAGTTATTTGATATGATGTGTTTGATTAAAATCCTTGTTTCATTCGATGTGCTTTCATATTATTCCGCAGAACTCTGCAGATGTGCTTTCTTGATGTTAAACTCTTATTCTTAACAATGTTGATCAGTTGTAGGTGTCTATTTGTTTTGCGTTCTTTTCAGCTAGCCCTTATTTTAAATTTATTTCAAAGTTCGATTTTAATGTGGAGATTGGTTCAAATTTCCTGTGCAATGGGAACATTTGGGTGGTTTTTTGGTTTTAGTACCCCTCCCCTACGTCGGCTCAAACGCATATCAATGCTATTAAACCTATAGCGATAGCAGTTGAAACGAGCCTTGTTTTTACAACCTTAGTTATATTTGGTGTCCTGCATTTTAGCCTTGAGTTCGGGTGATCATTCACCTAGCACGTTGAACCGCGAGCACAATGAGTTATCCTCACTAACTAAGACTCCATCTAACCAGTTCAAAATTGACTCTCTGGGGCGTCAAAAGACCCAGACAGCCTCTAATTACGTCAACTTGGGATCCCTAAACTCCAAGGACCGGGCGCCTAAAAGGCCTCCGCGTGGAGTTGAAATGAACAGTAAGATTCATAGAAGTGATCACAGAAGCACCTCTGAATAAATGCCACGACCTGACTCTAAACCAGATTGAGCTTTTTTCATAATCATTGCTGCTAATCGTAGTATCTTTTTAACGAACCAGATTTATGTAGTGTCGAGTCAGTTGGCGCGAAGTCTATGCACAAATTCGTAGCCAATAGAATGGTTTCATTTATGGAGACGCTCCAATTGTTCATACCAAAAAAATGTGTGTAACAGTTGTCATACTTCTGCGACATCGATTCTTCATTTAAAAGAACTTGTTTTTTTTTTTCAGTGTCGATGTATTTTGAAATTTTTAAGATTTTTTCAGAGTTAATGTTGACTGTTAAGGACTGTAAAAAAATTTGTGCTGGCCTGTTTAACTGAATTGTTGCATCTTGAACGTGTCAATGAACGTAGTGAAGACGCTAAGTATATAAAGTTGCGTTGATTTTTTCAACAAAAACTATATAAAAGCTGTATGCTCTCAAATTAGGTTGTCCCTGGTTTGACTTTTGAAGTTAAATTCACGTTGATTTACTGAAAAATTATGATCTCGAATAACGAAAGTTCAAATGGCGTTAAAAAAACATGATTGAATTGTTTCTAAAATGAATTTTTATTTACAGAATTCGCAAAGGAATAAAAAAAGTAATCTATTGATCCCACTTTTTCAAATTGGCTGTGTGTGAATCATAAAAGATTCTGAAAATTTTAAGAGCTTTTACGGTCGTAGGTTGTTTTTCTACGAAACGTAGTTGAATTTTTCTAGGAAAAAGTTAAATTTTTCAAAAAAACTCAATCATTTCGCGGTCTCCAAAGAGTTCATTGACACTTTTAATTTGTCTGTTGCCTATGTTTTTTGATAAATTAAATAAAAAAATTATTTTCCAATTTCATTTTGATGGTTTTTGTTTCGGTTTTTAAATTCTTATCAGTATCTGATCTTTCTTCATTACATACGACTGTTGTTAAACTTGACCTTTTGGCTTGCAGCGCATAACTCTTCTTACCTTTCTGCTCATTAATATTAACTCCACTTTCAGCTGTATTTAATACAAAAAATGGCCCTTATCTTAAACTTCAATATTAATTCTGCAGAGACTATGGTGAATGTTAAATCAAAAGTTTTGAAAGGTCTCCATTGGGTATAGGGTTTTGGACTAATGAACTTTTCCTCCCTGACATGCAAAGAAAAGGACTGCAATTTTGTGTTAGAAATTTTTAATCTTAATCTGATCGCTTATGATGTTTTACGTTTGCATCGGGAAACTTGGGAAACATCCAATCCGGAAATTTATGTTAAAAATGTATATTCGTTTCAAAGATTATTTAATACAGATGGTAAAAAGTCATCAATGCTTGAAATGTTTCAGCAGCTAACTCTGCAGCACAAGGCGGCTACATAAACACTCCGAATCCGCCGCCAGTGCCTGCCCGTGGACCTGGAATGCAACCAGCACAGCAGAAACTAACGTCGTCAGCAGGATCAGGACTAGACAGATAGATGAACCGAACTTCATCATTTTGTCATTTCCACTGAGACGTTAAAAGACCAAATCCAGTTGCGAGTGTTTTGCATGAAAAAAACTGATAATACTGAAGTTTAAACTCTAAAAAAATAGAAGATTCCTAAAAAATCTGAAAAGAAATTTAAATTTTGCTGTATACAAAAATGAACAACTTTTGAACAATCAATTTTTAGTTTTACAACCTTTTAGTTTCAGTTTTTGATTTGGGAAAAACTTCGTCAAAACAAGTTGATAAAGCATTTGCAACTGGATTTACCTGAAACTCATTTTTGATACGTCATGTCATGACTCGCTCATTTTGCAGTAAACACCTCGATTCTATTTTTCTATTTCGCTTTTTTAAAAGCTCTGTTGGTACGACTCATAACAACTATATTGAGTACGACTCATACGGCTGTACATTATTACTCTTGATAGGACATGAAGATTAAGATGATTTATACAATACGAGTTGATCCGTGTATGTGCTTGTTTCTTAGAAAAATTAAAATCATTTTCCGTGAAACTAATATACGATCGAACATTTGTATCGCAGAAACTTTAACGTTGAATTTGTTTAGTTAGATAATATTATTTTGTGACAGAATATTCATAGCAATGGTCGTTTTTCATTTGGGGAGTGAATGTTATGACTGCCATCCTTTGCTACAAAATTTTCGATTTAATTTGACCCCTGATACTTCAGAGTAAAGTCCGAAAAGTACCGCGTGTTATAAATATCAATAAGTTTGGTTTGTGTAAGTGTTATGGTTATGACTGACACAGTTTTTTGCGTTTATAAAGATTTTATTTTTATTAATCGAGATTTATTGTCTAATTCATTGCACAAGTTTTTTTTGCTTTGATGGGCAGGTAATTCTACGTTGGACAAAATATAAAGTAGAATTGCTTTCCTAAAAGCTTTAGATTTTTTAATAAGTCTTAAAACATTGAATTTGTTATTAGCTATAATTTCAACATCGAATAATTGAAATGACAGCAGAAAAATCGGGTTCTAAACAAATACGCATAAGGGTCAAATTAAAACGCATAGAATTATATAGAAGATACCAGATGTGTATCGCCATGTTTGCATAGTCACGGATAAGAAATTTGTATGATTTTTGTAGTTAAATTAAATTGTTTCCTATATTGGTATTAATTGTTTCTAATTTAAGCTTTCTGATATTGTTCTTTGAATAAATGCCAAAATAAGCTGAGCAAAATTTTGTTCGAGTAGAGAAAGACAAAAAAAGACCGACTGCTGTTAACCAGAGTTTTGAAGAGCCCAAATCGGAAAGGAGAGATGGCCAGGGCTGGCTTGGGACTGGAATTTTCGGTCTCCTTACCAGCTTTCAACTAAAATTTTGTGCGTTCTTACGCATAAATTTGAAGAAACTTTTAGCCGGATCTAAGAGTTTTGTTGAAGAATTTACTGCATGAGCAGATTTCAAATTATTTTTTTAGCAATCATTTTTTTGGAAATTGAGTTCTTGTAATTGTCATAGGCTAAATGTCATTCCAATTTTAAAGAAACCCCTAAAAAAGTCGCCTGCCTTGCATTTTCAATTAAAGCCCTCAAAAAATTCAATTACTTGGGTGAGAAATGGAGCTGAAAGGAAGGTTTTGCTCTCGAATAAATACTAAATTCAAAAAAGCTTTAAATTGCTCGAAAGTGTTTTTTTTTCAGATTGTGCCTGTTTGAGTTCATTGACACTCACCCAATTGTCTGTTGGCTATGTTTGTTCTTTAAGAGTAATAAACGTAGTGAAGACCCTTATATAGGTCTTGGTGATTTTTTTTCAGGAAAAAATCTTAAAATGCTCTAATAACTACAGATGTGCATTCAAACTATTGTTGAACTTATGAATGCACTTAGGTATATATGCACTTTTTGAGTGCAATTGAAATTAATCTGCTGAAAGTGACGTAAAGAGCACTCTCCGAATACGAACGTGGAAATGGCTCAAAAATACGAACGATTTCTAGTTTCGAAAGTGGAATTTAGTTTTTAGATTTCCAGCAGAATAAAAACTTTACCTGTTGATCCAGTTTTCTCAAGTTGTTTTTATGTTATAAAAAAACGCCAATAATAACTTGTTGTAGAAATTCAAAGAACTTAAAGGGCATCTATTTTTTGATTTGAGTTTCGAAAGTTTGGCCAGAAAATCAGTGTTTTTTATGTTTACTTGCGTTCATTACTCTTCCGATCTTCGATTAGCTATGTTTTTCTTTAATCAATTTTGAGTATTTTTGTGCTCCATTTAACCACACACAATTTTAAAACGCTAAAACACAACCTCTAGCCAATTCAGGATGCCGAAAATGTGATCTGTTTTATTCTAAAAAAATCTCGTGAACTGCGAGATAACAAGGATAGTAAAACTCCAAATTCAAATGAGATAGTATTTGGCCGTTTCAATTTTGTTCAAGCAAAACATCTCAATTTGTACTTTGCACAGGAGGTGAGGACAAGTAAGGAAAAAACGTGTTAACAGAAATGCTCTGCAAATGATTGTTTAAAACAACTTCATTTTTACACTTGGGAGAACAAGTGTCTTGTAATCGGCGGCAGCTAGACTTTTTTTCCATTTAAACAACTTTTCCTAAAAATTTGAAAAAAATTCATGTTGCTGCATACACAAGCAAAGCTTGTGTAATAGTGTGAATTCTTTTTTTCCAATCTACGGCGCAAATTTTGTTGCGGCAAAATATGTTCATTTTGAAAGTTCATTTTGATCAATAACCAACTAATAAATACAGCCAATGCTAAGGATATGATAACAGACTTTTTTATTACAACTAGCACTTAAGCTTCAAAGTACCATGGATCTGTAGCGTAGAGGCAGGGATAGGGCCCGCAACAAAAAAAGAGGGTTCAAACGTGAGCAGGGTCGAATATTTTTAATGATTTCTTTCGGATATTAGCTAAAATTCATCCCCTTTATAAATTGAAGTACGTTAGATATCATTTTCATTTTTTCAAATTGACTAGTACTGCTAATGCGTCATAATTGGCATGAGTCACATTAAAAGTTTTGTGGACTCAAAGTTTTTTTCAGTCAGTTTTTTTCCAGTAGTGTTATCGGTCTAAATTTGCTTAGGTATGCGAAGTGCAATTTTGCCTCTGTTTAACGTTTGTTTTGAATCCTGACTGGTATAATCCGTTTTTTTTTCAATTTTTGTTACGCCTGGAATTGTTTCTCGGCCTACATGATTTCGGCTTGTGTTTTCTCAGTGCAGTGTTTTTTAAAAGTCGCAAATTCAAACTGTTAAATCCCTCAATTTTTTTATCATAACATTTTCCTTTGGCATTATTTGTTTTCGGATTAATGCGCGTCTAACCTTGTGTTGTCGACTTTGTAAACAATTGGGAAAAACTGAATGCTTCGTTAATGCAAACGGTTGTCTGTCTCGATTGTTTTTCTGAAGTAGAAACTTTCGTATTTCCAAAAAAAATTGTTTATTTTAAGTTTTTTTTCGAATTCGTTATTTTCATCTCTTTTTCTATTTGGTAAGCTTGCAACGCTAAGCTTTCCTTGTATTGCAAAATATCTGAAGCTCAGCTTTGTCTCAGTGTAATGTTTCAAGGTTGCTGTAGGAAGAAAAAATTGAAAAAGTTCAATTTGTTTAAATTTGTACTTAAACAAAATGTTGTACTTTTTGAAAAAAAAAACTGACGTTTTGAGTGAAATAAATTCTTCTTTTTCTTCTTCTTCTTGAAGGGTTCCTCTAGATAAAATGTGGAATTCTCTTAGGGTTCACAAGTCGAACTGATCGGACAGACATGATAAGTCGAGTGTTCTGTAAAATAGTGAATTCTTACCCGTCTTTGCAAACCAAAATCTGGCTAGACTAGTTCATAAGTGCTGATTTTCTAAAAAAAATAAAGCCAATCCAAAAAATGGGAAACCATTTTCTAAAAAATGGGAAACTAGCACACGCGTAATCTCCTGGAAATGATGCCGATAAAAATGCGATAAAAGTCATGATACAGCAAGACCCAAGACGAAAAAAAACGAAATTGCAAAAGAGCGTGATTGAGGATTGGCAATCAACATATCCACATGACCGTAGAAGTAGATACAGAAATTCCTTAAATTTTCCTGAACTGAGAAACAGCGAGACAAACCATAGATTCATCAAGGAGAACGAGGTTTTTCCAAGCACAGTTTGTGATCTCTAACAAACAACAAATTATATTGGGTTCGCTCTAGATGGGCCGGCTGTGAATTCAAAGATGTCTCACTGCTTATCGCAGGATAGAAAATAAGTGATTTAAATGTTTACCTAATCATGTGGGTTTTTTATTCAACTTGTCTGTCAATATTTTTGAAGACAGTCTTATACGAAAAATTGGGAGAAGGATACCCGAACACATACAAGATAAAGAAGAGCAAAAGATAAACAAACTATCAAACTAAGCGCACATCTAGAATGGAACAAGCTTACCTGGGTCCCAAACAATCAGATGCATTTATTGAAATTAAAAACGTTGTCTAGCAAAAGTTTCAACGACCAATTACTTCGCTCCAAATAAAGAAACAACAGCAAAATGCAACATGAACCACAGTGTGCTTGATTTGACCTTGATCCATACAGTAGCAAGATGGACTGTGTCCCAATATTGTGTCCCTTTTTGCATGATGATTATGTGAAGATAGCCAGTTCAAATGTTTGAATTTTCAAGAGAGTACCTTAGGACTGGCGTTTTCCCCTGCAGAAAATGTTTGGGATTAAATAAAAGATACTTTCTACGATGCAAAAAATTTATTCATTGGCTGGTTTTTAGACGTCTCTGGCTTTTTCTAGAACAACGTTAAAAATTGCAACCTGAAATACACGCGCCGAAAGCAAAGCTCTCGCAGAGCGAAAAACAGTTTTTTGGATATTTTCGGTGAGTTATTTTATTAAACCAGAAACCTAAAACTGCTGCACCCTCGTTTAGAAACCCGAATTGCTCAATTTGTTTTAGAAATTTGATTTTATTAATGCAATTAAATTGCCTCATAGAGAAACTATGTTGAATCACGTTTTTGTGGATCACCCGGAGATTTACAAAGTTATCCATTGCGCCTACAGTAAACCGAGTTACCTTTTTACGGATCATTCGTCATTAAG